TGACAGATGGGGAAAGTGAGGCCGAGAGAGCCCCTGCACACCGTAGGCTCCAAATAAATACCTGCTGAGTGTGAGTTGGATGAATAGAAGGGAGGTGAGGGCCTGTGCCCGAGGTCACGTGACTAGAAAAGGCAGAGCCGGGATTGGAACCAAGCAGCCTGCTCTGGACCCCTCGTGTTTACCTGGCGCCCTGCGTGGCCCCCGACCTCCACCCCAGGTGGGAAACAGGGGATGACCTCCTGCTGCCCCCGGGGGCACCTGTCCAGGCCTGTCCCAGGCGGTGGCTGTTAGAGAAACGGGGCTTTAGGGCACCAGACAAGGCTCTAGGGGGCGAGGCCATGGCTTCCTTCGCACCAGATCCCCCAGGGGGCACGAAGAGAACCTTAGACCCGCACCCCCAGCTGGTCCTCACTTGGGTAAGTCAGTTCATCTCCCACAGCCTCAGTTGGCCCATCTGTGAAACGGGGCTTCCATTAGTGGGTTCGGCAATAGCAGCGCCAGCTCGTATAATTCTGGAATGTAGGCCCTTGGGCCTGCCTCAGAACCACGCCGGCCTCAGTTTCCCCGTCTTTATACTAGGGATAATGGCGCTGATCCTGGCCTGGCCCAGTCGCCCCCATCCTAAGACAAGTCTGTGACATTTCTCAAATATGCAGATCCCTGTGGCTGGTCCCGTGTACCTGCACTTTAGCAGGTGTCCCTGGGGGTTCTCGCCACAGATCTGGGGACGTGACAGCTAAAAGCAGTTTTCGAAGCATTTTTTTGGTTCTCATTTCACAATTCTTTAAACCACAAAGCTACGGCCACACATGCTGGCACTCGTCCCCCAGGACAAAGGCGGGCGTGCTGAAATGCTAATTTCCTCTACTCCTGGGGGAAGCTCAGGCTGGTCTTGTACTCCTCGGCTCGAGGCATCCTCCCGCCTCAGCCTCCCAAGCAGCAGCTAGGATTACAGGTGTGCGCCACCAAGCCTGGCTTTTATTTTTTGTTCAAATCTTAAAAGTAAATAGAGCTAGCCCATCACTTGTCACGTTCTCTGCATCTTTTTCTGACCACCCTCTGTCTACGTCAATGCCCTGGGCACAAATGCCGCAAGTGCCTCTATCGCTACACTGGAAATATGGTGCTTTTAATCCCCTTTTTGCCGATGGGGAAACTGAGGCCCCAGTCTGGCGGGAGTCCAGGCTGCAGCTGGGGAGGAGAGCGTGGCGACTGGGCGAGTGGCGCTTGCTGCCTGGGCTGTCTTGGGCTCTGCGGCCCTTCCCGGGGAGGGCACGTGCAAGGGGCTGGCTGTGCGTGCCAGGGCCCTCACGTGCCCCCTCCCCCTGCCCTGCCCGGGCGGGCAGACCGCGGCCTCGGTCCCCTCCCGTGGAGCGGCCAGCTGCGCAGCCAGACCGCAGACCAGGCCGGGAAAGTGCACACGAACCCGGCTGGCGGCTGAGTTTCTCTTTCCCGTCAAGCAAGTGTCTGATCGTCCTGGGGGCGGGGGGTGTGTTTGGGGGGAGGGGAAGGGGGCCCCCGGGCTGTTTTTATTTTCTTGCGGAATAATATTTACATAATGAAGTCTATGAACTATGTCAGCCTCAAGTGTCCAGATTAGCCATTTTTGGATGCGAGGTATTCACCACTCAGATCAAGGTCAAGGTGGCTGTCAGCCTCCAGAGGCTCCCCCTGCGCCCCTCCCAGCCCACAGGCGGCCCCAGCAGAGCTAACCGCCCTGGCTCTATAAATATCCACCAGATCTGCCTGCTCTTAAACCGCATGCAAAGCAGTTAAAGTCACCCCGTGCGTGCCCGCTCTTGTCTGGTTTCTTTCACTGGATACGACGTGTGTTAGAGTGGCGCGTGACGTGGCGTGTAGCAGTGGCGTGTAGCAGTGGCGCGTGACGTGGCGTGTAGCAGTGGCATGTAGCAGTGGCGTGCTCTGCTGCTGCTGAGCACTGTCGCACTGTACCGAAGCCCCTCAGTTTGTTTATCCGTTGTCCCGGTGACGGTTATTTGGGAAGTTTCCAGCTTGGGACGACGACGACGAGGAGCAGAGGCGCTGGGAACATCTGTGCAGGCGCCTTTGTGCGGGCACGTGCTTTCTCTGCTCCCGGCAAAGGCCCAGGAGCAGGGCGCTGGACCCGAGGGCGGATGTTTAACTTGGTAAGAGCCTGCCAGCTGTTTTCCTCGCTGGCGGCCAGGGCTGTTTCCAGTGCTCAGAGGTGAGACTGGCACGACGCCGTGGGGGGCCCTGCCCCACATCAGAGCGAACCCACCAAACACTCCCACAGGCCACATCGGACGTATACTCTTGGGTGTAAAAATAGCTTTTTGAGGGGCTTTTCTAATGTTGCTGTCTGAAATTATTTGGCCCCGAGTGACCTCTGCTCTTTGGGTCTGCTGGAGTTTCTCAGCAAGCCTCTGTGGACCGTGTGGCAGAGGAGACAGCCCAACCCTCAACTGTTTGTCCTTTGGAGTGAGATTTTTATGAATAATATATCCAGCATCTAATGAATGTCCTTCCCGTTCTTGCTAGCGTTGTGAACTCCTATATACCCCTCAAAACCCCACTCAAAGGCCCATACCCCCATGCAGCCCTCTCGTTAATAGGTAACTGCAGCCCTCTCTTCCCCCCACTCCCCACCTAGAGCCTGATGTGTGATGCTGATGTCACGCCCTGGGCACCGTTGCAGCTGGTGCATTTGAGGGAACTGTGTCCAGAGCCCAGGGCCTGCCTGTACTTCTCTCTGTGCCCAGCCCATACCGGACACATGGTCTATCTTTGCTAACCTGACTTTCCCAGAGTTCTTTGCATGTCAGGTGCCCTTACCCAGGGCTGCAGGGCTGGATGGCAGAGGAGCTGAGACGGGCTTGAACATGTATGCAAATTATGGGTGTTGCAAGCAAGCGCCCTGGCTTCCCCCAGTTCCCCCGAGGTTGCCTGTGTTGCCAAAGGTTAAAGAATCTTTGCTTGCCCTGGGGGGACTGTTCCCTGGGAGAGGGCACCAGTGACTTGTAGCCATGGAAGAGAGCAAGGGAGGGAACAGAGAGCGCTCACTCATACCTTCATTCCATCCATTCATTCAGCAAGCATTTAGTATGTTCCTTCAGCACCTGCTTCAGCCTCCCGAGGAGCTGGGACTACAGGTGTGCACCACCAAGCCAAGCTAATTTTTCTATCTTTATTTTTGTAGAGAAGGGGGTCTCGCTATGTTGCTCAGGCTGGTCTTGAACTCCTGGCCTCAAGCGATCCTCCTGCCTCAGCCTCTCAGAGTGCTGGGACTATAGGCATGTGCCAGCAAGAAAGAAAAAGGCGTAGGCTCAATGCCACGTGGGTCCTACTTTGGATCCTTGTGTTTTTATAATGCAAGCCCTCCAGGGCAATCCGATTTATGCTAAAGTTTGAGAACATGGCATTTTGGGCTGAAGCAAAAAAAAAAAAAACTATTTAATAAAAAATAAAATAAGATTTGGCAACTACTAGTCCGCTGAATATATTCTAGAGAAATCCTTGCACACGGGCACAGAGACGGTCACTGCGGCAGTGTTTATATTGGCAGAAAATTGAAAACAGCCAAGTGCCCGCCAAGAGGAAATGTGGGCGTCAGACGGAAGGTGTCCACATGAGGGACACGGACGGGCACAGGGCAAAGGTCGGAAGCTCAGCCCTTCCTCATCCTCCCCCACAGTGTCACAGGGGCGAATCTCACAGGTGACACAGCAAACAAAGCAAGTTACGTGACACGCAGAGTGTGATGGCAGATGAAGATTTCAGCACCCAAAATCCGTCCTCGTTTGTTTGGGGACACAAAGTTTTCACTCCAGAAGAGTGTTCTGATTGTTTGGGGACACGTGTGTGTGTATAAAGATGGACTTGGAATGATAAACACCAACGGCCAGGGAGGGCGGGGGAGGGGAGTGACAGAGGGAAGGAGTAAACGGACTTCCGATCTGCCTCATGTGTTGTATTTTTTTAAGGCAGGGATTGGGGATAAGATACTCTTTGCATACCTGAGAAGCATCATTAAAATAATTTTTAATTTAAAAAGTTAACAATGATCTAAAAATGATTCATAGTGACACATATAAAGTTAAAAGCAAGAGCCTCTCACCCCAATCCCATGTTTACCCTGAAAATTTGGTGAATATACTTGCAAAATTGGACCTATGCGTTCATTAAAATATAATGATGTGATGGCCGGGCGCGGTGGCTCACGCCTGTAATCCTAGCACTCTGGGAGGCCGAGGCGGGCGGATTGCTTGAGCTCAGGAGTTGGAGACCAGCCTGAGCAAGAGTGAGACCCTGTCTCTACCATAAATAGAAAGAAAATTAACCAAATAACTAAAAATAGAAAAAATTAGCCAGGCACAGTGGTGCGTGCCTATAGTCCCAGCTACTCGGGAGGCTGAGACAGGAGGATCCCTGGAGCCTAGGAGTTTGAGGTTGCTGTGAGCTGATGCCATGGCACTCTAACCCAGGCTACAGAGTGAGGCTCTGTCGCCATGAAAAAAAAAAAAAATGATGTGACATTCTAGAAAAGGCAACATTATAGAGATAGTAAGAGGTCCGTGGTTGGCAGGGTTGTGATGGTGGCTTCATGACATTATGCATTTGTCAAAGCCCATGCAACACACAACACAAAGAGAGAACCCTGGTATAAACCATGGGCGTTGGTTATTAATAATGTATCAATATTGATCCATCAGCTGGGCGCGGTGGCTCACGCCTGTAATCCTAGCACTCTGGGAGGCCGAGGCGGGCGGATCGCTCGAGGCCAGGAGTTCGAAACCAGCCTGAGCAAGAGGGAGACCCTGTCTCTACTATAAATAGAAAGAAATTAATTGGCCAACTAATATATATAGAAAAAAAAACTAGCCGGTCATGGCGGTGCATGCCTGTAGTCCCAGCTACTCGGGAGGCTGAGGCAGGAGGATTGCTTGAGCCCAGGAGTTTGAGGTTGCTGTGAGCGAGGCTGACGCCACGGCACTCACTCTAGCCTGGGCAACAAAGCGAGACTCTGTCTCAAAAAAAAAAAATATTGATCCATCAATTGTAACACATGAACCACATTCATGCCTGATGTTAATAATAGGGGAAACTGAGGCAGAGGGAGAAGCGGACTTCTGGGTATTCTCTGTAAAGCTAATACTGTTCTAAAAAAATAAAGTCCATTCATTTAAATAAATAACTACACTCAAAAGGAATGTTTCCCTTCATGGGTTTTAAAGTGCAAAGCAGTTCTCAGAAACTGGCCGAGGCTACCCTCCCCGCTGGTGCCCTCGGAGCCGCCCCTCGCAGCGTTCCCAGGGACTGGCCCCAGTTTGCGGGCAGCCAGGCTGGCTCCCACTGTGCAGTTGTCACCAGCAGAGCTGAGACGAGTCTGTCACAGCTGAGCCTTTGCTCGTCCACGTGAGGTCATCTGGGCTGCGCTGTGCACTGCAGAGCCAGGAGCCACAGGTGGCCGCTGAGGACTTGCAAGTGGTGGATCCGAATCAGGACGTGCCGTGAGGGCGAAAGACACCCGGCATGTAGAGGACTTGGTGCAGAGAGAGGAACGTGAACCATCTCGCTTGTGTCTGTATTGAGGACCTGTTGAAGTGGTGATATTTTGGATGTATTGGCTTAAGTAAAATATTTACAAAAAAAATTTTTTTTTTGGAAATGGAGTCTCACTCTGTCTGCCGCCCAGGCTACAGTGCGGTGGGTCAGCACTGAGGTCAGCTCAACGGCAACCTCAAACTCCTGGGCTCAAGCGATCCTCCTGCCTCAGCCTCCCAGAGCGCTGAGATTACAGGCATGAGCCACCATGCCCGGCCAAAACATTAAAATTAACTTCACTTGTTTCTTTTCAGCTTTTTTAACGTGGCTACTAGAACATTTTAAATGACACGGCGCCCACACTTGCGGCTTGCGTTATATTCCTGCTGGATGGCCCCGACAGAGTGGGCAGATTTATGCGCTGGACTTTCTCAGCCCAGCGTTGCCGTGGAAACGCCGCCCAGACCTGCGCTCACCTTGCGGCTGCGCGTGCGTCGCAGAAGTGCGCCGGGATCCATGGTCTATCGGTTCTTTTTCAACCCGCCGTCTCCTCTGTCTCCTCATCTATTTTTCATTCTCTGTTGTTGCTTCATTGCCACCAGCAAACAAGTGTGCTCTGTCGTCCCATTGAAAGCCAAAGCCAAGCCCACCCACCGCTCCCGGCCGCTCACTCTGCAGCCTCCCCTCCCCATCCTCTGTCCTCCTCTGCAGCCAGCGCCCTGGCCAGAGTCAGTCCCGGCTCCCCCTCCCCTGCGTGCCCTCCCCACCCCCCATCAGGCCCTCCTGGCCCCGATGCCACTGCACAAGGCCCCTTCTTCTAAAGGCCACCGGTCACCGACATGCTGCCAAGTCCACGGGAGAGATGGGGAGACCCTCCTGGATTAATCGGGGGGACCCAGTGTAATGACAGGGACCTTCTAAGGGAGACAGGGAGGCAGGAGGGACAGGGTCAGAGAGAGAGGCGGAAGATGCCACGCTGCTGGCTTTGGAGACAGAGGATGGGGCCGCGAGCCAAGGAGTGCCGGTGGCCCCGAGGGTCTGGGGAAGGCAAGGGAACAGACCCTGCCCTAGAGATCCCAGAAGGGAACGCTGCCCTGCCCACACCTTGATTTTAGCCCCTAAGACCCAGTGTGGGATCCCGGCCTGCAGAACTGTGAGGTAATAAATCTGTGTTATTTCAAGCTTCGAAGTTCATGGTACAGCGGCAACGAAAGACCAATACGGTGGTGCTGCCCAGCCCCGTGGCGCTAAATGCTGAGAATGTCACATGCGTCGCCTCCGGCCCCGACGTCAGCCTCAGACAGCGACCTGCCCACCGACACCTCCGTTGCCATGCCTGGATTCTGGGCCTTCCTCCCTCCGCCTCCTCCACCTCCCCCTGCCCCCAGCTCAGCTGGCTGCAACTGCATCCTGCCAGGTGCTGGGGCCACAGCCCCAGGCCAACCTTAACTCTCTCTCACCCTCCCCTTGTCCCGGCTGCCAGCGAGTCCTGCCGGCTCCATCCTTGAGACCCAGCGGAACCCGGCTGCTCCCCGCCATGCCGCCCCCACCACCTGGTCTGAGCCCCCACGGTTCCTCACCTGCTGACAGTCACTGCCTCCTCGCTAGGCTCCCGCCACCCCCTCTGCCCCGACGTTCTTCTTAGCGCAGCAGCGGGGGGCCCTTAACACAGAGAACAAATGCCACTCTTACAGTCCCATCTTATTCAGAGTAAAGTCAAGTCCTTAGAAGGCAGACAAAGGCATCCACGATGTGGGCCCCAACCCCTCTGCCACCTCATCTCCTACCGCCCCTCTCCTCTCTGCTCCCCCCACTTTGGCCTCCCCACTGTTATTTGAACATAGCAGAAGATCCCCACCCCAGGGCCTTTGCACATGCTGTACCCCTGCCTGGCGCACTCTTCCCTGATATCCTCACGACTAACTCCCTCACTGCTCTCAGGATCTGGCCAGATGCACCTTCTCCACAAGGCCTGCCCCGATCACCCTGAACTGCTCCTCACCCCAGCCACCTCCAGTTGTCCTTGCCCTGCCCTACTTTTTCTGTTTTCCTTTCAACATACTATACCATGTGCTTATCTATCACGCTTGGTGTCTGTCCATCTCCCGTGCTGGGACAAAAACTCCATGAGGGCGGGGATCTTTCTTTTGTTTGCTGGGCTCAGAACAGTGCCCAGCACAGAGGGCAGTCGACAGATAGTAACTGAACAAACGAATGGATGGAAAAGTGCCAGAGGCAAAGGTTAGCAACTCTAAAACCGCTATACACGTACACTAGATGGGAACAATTAAATACACGGTCGTGGCAGGACCTGGGTTTCCCACTGTTACGGTTAAGCAGGGGGAGGCGCCACGTGATTACCACGGATCGGAGTTGGAGACCTCAGTATGAACACGTGCTGAGCGACACGGATGATTACATACAGAAGCATTTACAGATACGTGCACCTACACAGCTTAGCACACACACGGATTTCCTTGCTCCATCAGCGAAAACAGCCAAGAAGCAAGAGCACCCCGTAGCCGTGAGCACACCTAGCGCCCAGATCTTGGTTTCTAACACCCTCCTCCAATAACATGAACCTTGGAGAAATGGCTGGCTCTAGGTCTGGGACAGGAAATGCACACGATGAGCCCGGAGCATCTCGCAGTGCTGGGACCCAGGGATGTGCCCAGCGGCTCGCAATGAAGGGGCAGGTCAAAGGGACACAGGGGCCCACTGAAAGAGCCGCCCCCCCAACCCCTGTGGCCAGAGCTGGGGCAATCTGAGCAACACATACTGTGGTACTGGGCTGTACCCCAGAGAATACAATATCCATGAGTCCACGCTGCTATAAATAAATGAGAGGAAAGAAAGAATTCCAATAACCGATGTCGATTCTCTGCTCTCAAAGAGGTGGAGTGCAGTCGCCCGTCCCGTACACGGGGGTTGTGCACAGTGACCTCTTCACAAAGAGCACAGCAGCCAAGAGGGAAGAAAGAGAAACTCTGCAGGACTGGAAATTGATGAACGCTGCCCAGCCAGGTGGTCACGTTGGGTCATCTCGAGAGCACGTGCCCTGGACAGAGAGCGAGCAGAGGGGCCCTTCTCCCCTGCAGTCTTCCTCCCCAAACATGGAACACCATGTCTTACACATGGGAAAGGCATAAGACAAGTTCCAGTGGAATGACCACTGCAGTGCAATGCTCATCTGCACCATTGTGCAAAATATCTGAGCAGCACTCCTTGAAAGTGTTAAGGTGATCCTAGACAAGGAAAGTCAAGCCCAGAGGGGCCTAAGGAGACATGGGGCCCTGGAACAGAAAAGGACATTGGGGAAAAATGAAGGAAAGCCGAATGAAACACCGGCTGTCGTTACTAACAAGGGATCCATGTCAGCTCATTAATTGTGACACAGGCTCCCTCCTTGTGTAAGATGTTCCTAGCAGGGGAAATCGGGTCTGGAACCCTGGAGTGGATCCTGGAACAGAAAATGGGTATTAGTAGAGAAACTGGTAAAATCCAAATATAAAGTCTGGAGTTTGGTTAATAGTGAGGAACCACTGTTGTTTTAGTCATGTCTAATGTCCCATGGTGATGTCAAAATGCCAGCCGTGGGTAAACTGTGAGAGGTATATGGGAACTCCCCATACTGGCTTTGTAACTTTTCCCAAAAGAAAAAGGTAATCAAAGAAAAAACAATAACCTCACAATGAAATGGGATCATTGCCTAGAGGAATTGCTTAGACAGGGGAATGGCTACTATTACTACTATTTTCTGTTGGTTTTTTTTGTTTTTTTTTTTTCTGATCATGGAAATAGCTCCTTCAACATTCAGCAACATGTCTTGCCATTTATACAGTGAGAAATTTCAAATCATACAGAAATGAAAAAAACAGAAAGTTGGGCCAGGTGCGGTGGCTCACGCCTGTAATCCTAGCACTCTGGGAGGCCGAGGCAGGCGGATCGCTCGAGGTCAGGAGTTTAAGACCAGCTTGAGCAAGAGCGAGACCCTGTCTCTACTAAAAACAGAAAGAAATTAATTGGCCAACTAAAAATAGATAGAAAAAATTAGCCAGGCATGGTGGCGCATGCCTGTAGTCCCAGCTACTCAGGAGGCTGAGGCAGGAGGATCGCTTGAGCCCAGGAGTCTCAGGTTGCTGTGAGCTAGGCTGACGCCACGGCACTCTAGCTGGGGCAACAGAGTGAGACTCCAAAAAGAAAAAGAAAGTGAAACCTTTCCTAATTCTCCACCCTAAGTTGATGTACCACATTCTAGACTTTTCCCTCTGCACAGGTGAGCATTTATTTCTAAATTTTTACAAACGTGGGATGATGCCCTACATGCTAGCAACTTGCTCAGTTTCGGTACGCTGTGGGTGTCCCTCCACGCCGGCACCTCCCGCCCGGCTCTCCCTCCCGAGCGGCTGCCAGCTGTCCCGCAGCACGGGAGCCGCCTCCCTGAGAGGGACACCCAGCTATTCCTGCCTCCCCGCCCCTCCCGGCAAGGCTCCATGAACATCCTCCTACTCATGCCGTCAGGGACACCTGAGGGCATTTCTGCAGGACGAACCCCTGCCTGTGGAATTGCAGGCATGACGGCACATTTGACAAGCTGTCACCTCACTGCCAAATTGCCCTCTCGTTATTTTGAGAATTAACCCCAAAGAGACGAAGGGGAACACATAACCCCTTCCCCTGCCTTCCCCTCTTTGGGGACTCTCTTCTTGAACCAGGTGGCTGTGGGTGGCCACTGTGACGTCACAGGTGTGGGGGAGGGGGAGGGCCAAGCACACCGTGTCACTGCCCTGCCAGGACCTCAGGGGACTGGACGTCCTTTTGTGATTCTCCGGGGATCATCTCTCGGCCAGAGGCCACACCCAGCAGAACTGGGGCAGCCGGCAGGGAGAGGCCGGGCGTCACTTTAAAGATCGCAACACAATTCCACGAGTTTAGAATTGGAAAAAGACAATAAGAGAGTTTCATCATCCGAACCATTTGTTTGCCATTCCTGTATTCATTCAACAGAGATCTGGGTTCCTTTCCTTTTATAGTTCTCAGCACTGGGGTGGCCACAGCGAACGAAGTCCCTGGCCTCTCTGAACTGTCATTCTCCTTGTGGGGGAGGGGGCACAGATGTCACACGATAAGTATCAGTGAGTGGCAAGTGCTGTATTATTTAGGGTAACAGCCAGCTGCTGCAATAAACGCACCCCAACACTTCAGGCTCCGTGACCCTAGCCAAGGCCGAGTGTCCCCAGGGCTCAGCTCTGGATCTTCCTCCTCCCAGGACTCATGACTTATTTCTGGGATGATCTGACCAGGGCCCGTCCCCTCCGCTGGGCCTAGAGTTCCCAGGCTCGTTTCTTCCTCTGTGGCCACAGCGGCCCCCTCGCAGTCCCAGGCTTTCCTCGTCCCCGAACAGACAGAGACTCTCACCATCCAGGTGTCAGCTCACTGTCCCCTCCCGTGTGCGGCCGCCACCGGGCCTTGTGTTCTCCTGGGCACGTGTGGCGGGGGGCGAGAGGAACCCCAAAGTGTCACAGGCCCTGTCCACAGGCGGGGACTTGCCTACAAGCGAGGGGGGCGGGCGTCATGGGGCCAGTGACGTGGGAATAGAAGTGGAGCCTGTCACTGCAGGGCCGAGGCCGTCACTGATTGCTCTCCCTCCGTCCAGTGGCTGCACGTGGACGCTCGGGACACGCTGGGAGCCACGTGGCCAAGAAGGCAGAGCTGCGGTCGGCCGGGGTCCCCGAATGGCTGTGTGGACACGGCCACTGGCTCCCTCCTGCTGGAACACTCGCACGGGACAGGGGTGGCTCCGGCTTAGCACTCAGCTCTCGGCTCAAAGGTCACCTCCTCCAAAAGGCATCTCCCCAGGCCCTCCAGAAACCTTCCAGTCATTCCCTGTCTCCTCGACGGAGTCTCCCCGCATTTGTGAGAGGTTTCAGGTATCTTGTCCTCCATTTGCTCGCGTGAATACAGCTGTCCCGACCAGCAGTAAGCCTCCCAGGGGCAGGAACCCTCCTGCCTTGCTCATGCTGTAGCATCTTCCTAGAACAGGGCCCGGCACATAGCACGTGCTCAACAAAAACGTGACTGAACAGACAGTCCGGCCCATCTGTCTCAACTCGCTCGTCTGTCCAACAGGGTGGACACCAGGAGGGTGATTTTTCAAAAGCACTGAGTATTAGAGGCTCAGGGGTAATATAACTTAGGTCAATCTAGACTTGAGTCAATACATGAAAATTTATTGCTGCCCTACTGGGTGCCGGTGTGCCCTCTTAGGAACTTAGCGAACTCTAGCTTCGAATGAGTGGTTTTCCCACCTCGCTGTGGGCGGGGGGCTGGGCTCCCCCCGCTCTGGGACGGAGCGTACTAAGCGCCTAGCTGGCGTCTGCCAGCCCTTCTCTTTGCTAAGAGCCCGCTTTATGCCAGGCGGCCCTGTGCCCGCAGGGAGGAGAGTGTTTGGAGGGCGGTTGCTGGATGGGACGTGGGGAAAGCGCTTCGCGAGAAGGTGACCCCTTTCGCCGCTCTCCTCCTCTTCCTCCTCCTCCCTCCTGGGCAGTGGATATGGCCGAAGTTCCAGCAGGGCCAAGGCTGGCCCTAGTGTGCCTTTGTCCAAATTTGAGAAAGACTTCTGCTGGGAGCAGTCAAATTGGAAAAAAGACGGCTCCCGTGGGCAGAAGCGTCCCCGTGGGTGTGGGGCCTGGCTTGGCAAGCAGACCGTAACCTGGGTTTCAGTCTCTACCCAGTCCCTTCGGCAGGGAGCTTGGAGCAGTCCACAGACCGCACCACCATCCTGGGCAGCCCTGATCTTGGACTAGGAGGCAACGTTGAGGGTGAAAAGCATTTGCTGAAGGCAGAGCTGAAAGCTGAAAGAAGCCTGGATCTTTGATAAAGGTGAGCTCCCATAGGGGCCCTGAATCACCTTCCTCCTGAGTTTTTTTTTGTTTTTTTTAAAATAATTTTAATACTTTATTTTGCAATGATGTCAAAGTTTCAGAAGAGTTGCAAGAAACATAAAAAGAACTTCCCTTCCCCCAGACTGGCCAATTGCTAACATTCTATCCCGTCTGCTCAATTACTCCCTCTCTCTTCCTTTCCCTCCCTCCTTCTCTATGGATGTTTTCCAGAATCACTCGAGAGCAGCGGACAGACACGACGGCATCACCCCTCAATACTCCGGCGGGTGTACCCCCCGACGAGGGCACTCTAACACCGCCCACATCACCTCTGACTTCTTAAGGAAGACATAAAACTCCTTCCCAAGTGACTTATTTTGGATTTCTGTTATAAGCAGCCAAACCGAACGCTAACTGCTCCCCTCTGGACCCCTAAAGTCCACGGGGGGAGGCGGGAAAGGTCACGCACAGCCCCGGGTGGCCAGGCCTGTCCCACTCACGCTCCCCGCCACTCTCTGCCCCAGCCTTGGGGCCCTCCCACCTGCCCGGCACCTCTTGGCCTCGGAGCTTTTTCTTTTTCCCATTGAGGTGAAATTCACAAAACAATATTCACCACTTCCAAGCGTGCGATTCCGCGGCATGGAGCGCGCTCACAACGCCGTGAAACCGTCACCCCTACCCGGCTGCACGACGCCATCAGCCCAGAAGGCAGCACCGTGCCCACGCAGCTCGGGGCACCCCCACCATCAGCTTCTGACTCCGTGGGTTTCCCGTGTCTGGACCCTTCATATAAACGGGGTCACACACTCCGTGCCCCCTGTCCCCAAACGCTGTCAGCTCCTGCCACCCCGATGTCCGTTCGCCCTCCCTGCACCAGCACCCCCACCCCCCAGGGGGGCTTTTCCTGGAGGCTCACGTGAGGTCAAGTTCTCTCAACGAAGAGAAGACCCGGTCTCCCTTCTCGGCGCTTGTCACGATTACGATGACTCTGAGTGGTTGTTTCACGCGTGTCTTCCGCGGTCAGGGTATAAGGGATTTAGGGTTAGGGAGGGATGTGTGCGTCTTATTTATCACTGTGTGCCAGGCCCAGCCCCACACCCGGCACATACCGTGTTTCCCCGAAAATAAGCCCTACCCATAAAACAAGCCCTAGCAGGATTTCTAAGCATCTGCGCAGTAGGAGCCCTACCCCGAAAATGAGCCTAGTGACGGGCGTGGCTACGCAGCGCGTCTGCACAACCCGGGCATTTCCCCGCGGAGCGGTGAAGAAGACGAGCAGCCCTTCTCATCTGCCCCAGGAGAGCTCTGTCGCTCGACAGGAGAGATGGGGCCAACGGTTCCAAAGGAAATAGAGTCACAAGACATTCAGGATGGACTTCGGGGTTTGGAGAGTCATGATGATGTTCCAGAAGATGACGCCTTAACTCTATTTGAATAAATGTAGATTGTTGTTCCGTATTTTAAAAAAATAATAACACATCCCCTGAAAATAAGCCCTAGGGTGTCTTCTTGAGGAAAAATAAATATAAGACCCTGTCTTATTTTCAGGGAAACACGGTAGGTGCTGGGTGACATCTGGTTAACCGGATGGACGGGTGAGTGAGTGCCCTGACAGAGACGTCGTCTCGTGTCCCCTCGGCTATGACCTCAGAGGGCCCGGTGGGGGGGTGCCCGCCCTCCCGCACGTGCCCATATAAGGGCACGACTTGGGACAGGTCTGCCGTGGCTTGTGAGGCCCCCGAGCGCTGCGACCTCACAATGCCCGGGCGGGGGCCGGTGTCTATAAGAGGCCCAGGCGCCGGGCCCTGGCTCACAGCCCACAAGTTCCACCTGCTCACAGGTTGGCTGGCTCAACCAAGGTGGTGCTCCCTGCTCTGAGCGTCCAGGCCAACTCCATCCGGCGCCATGGCCAGATACAGATGTTGCCGCAGCCAAAGCAGGAGCAGATGCCGCCGCCGGAGACGAAGATGTCGCAGACGGCGAAGGCGATGCTGTCGGAGAAGGAGGAGGAGTAAAGCGGGGCCAGCCGGGGGCGGGCAGGGCAGGGCTGGGCTGGGCAGGGCAGGGCAGGGCAGGGCTGGGCTGGGCTGGGCAGGGCCAGCCAGGGGCAGGCAGGGCCAGCCGGGAGCAGGCAGGGCAGGGCAGGGCTGGGCTGTGCTGGGCGGGGCTGGGCAGGGCTGGGCTGGGCTGGGCTGGGGGACTCAGCCAGGGCTGAGCTCTGCCTTCAACGCCCCTCTCGTTCCCCGCCAGGGTGCTGCCGCCGCAGGTACAGGTGTAGAAGAAGAAGATACTAAATGCACAAAATAGCACGTCCACCAAACTCCTGCCTGAGAATTTTACCAGACTTCAAGACCCTCTCGCCACATCTTGAAAATGCCACCATCCGATGAAAAACAGGAGCCTGCTAAGGAACAATGCCGCCTGTCAATAAACGTTGAAAAATCATCCCACTCTTCTTGTCTCCTGTCCTTGAGAAGGGGGCTCGGCGGAGAGGGGCATGGGCATGGGAGGGGACAGCGGGAAGGGGACATAGAGTTATAGTTGTCACACTGGATTTTGTTGCAAACTCTCGGCAACACTGCACGTCACAACCAAAACCTGCGTCCGCAAACCTCCTCCCTGCACAGCGGGGCACTGAAGCCGGGGCGTGGGAGTTTCTGGGGGCAGGCTGCGCGCATCTCCTCCCAAGCCTGCATTCGCGACTTCGGTGGCAGCCCCCGGGGCAGGAGCAGTGACACTAGAACTGGCAAGGGCTGCACATCAGGTCTCCTCCGCCCCAGGGCCCCTGGACGGAGCCAGTTAAACATTGACCAGCCTGAGCGCATTACGCCCAGGACCCCCGGCCCCACGGTTTCCGCACTGAAAGGAAGGCATCTTTGGTTATAAGTAGATTAAGCCAGTTGTCACCAGAAAAATCATTCGGCTCAAAATGCTTTATTCCTCATTCGGCAGGCCTGTCATGAGTTCTCGTCCCCATGTGGGTACAGTGACAGCTTGTCCAGGCCGCAGCTGAGCTGCGCTCTCCACACTTAATCTCCAGTGGCTCCGCGAAGGAGACAGGTCACCACCCGCGTGAGGACACAAAGGTTCCCCTACCCACCTGGTCTGACCCAAGCCCACACTGGACCCACACGACACTGCCTGTGCCCAAACCCCAGGGACACGTGGAGATGGGTCACAGACAGGTCAGCGAGACCAAGACACAAGAACTCCTGCTGGACGCTGGTCTACCTGGCCCAGTCCCCGCTCAGGACAGCCCGGCTCTCAGACGCGTGACGCAGACCCGGGGTCACAATCATTTCATTGTGGAGGAGCACGGCCCAGGGCGCAGCGCCAGCCACCAGGGCGCTGAGACCCAGTTCCCCGAGGCGACACTCCCTGGCACCTGGGGACTGCCATGGCTGTGACTTCCATTTGTGAATCTGCACGTGTCACTTCCAGTCCTCACACCAACCTGGCGGGGCAGGGGTCAGCAGCCCCGCGGTTCCAGGTGAGCACACCGAGAGACCCAGAGCTCGCGTTCGACCTGGGGCCTGGTGACCCAGGGCCCTGGCCACTGCGGGAACAGCTTCCCACGCCCCATCGGAGGGGGACAGCAGGCGGCTGAACTTGCAGACCCCAGGTGACCTTTTTCCCTTATTTGATCATCTAACTCCAGCCACGGAGACTGGACTCAGCAGGACCTGGGCTTTTGGATTTCTACAGGGGAGCTTGGGGGCCACCCTAAAGCGCCTCTGTCCTCAAGAGGGGGGTGGCACACGGCGCAGGGGTGGCGACACCACCTCCCGCGAGGCCGGAAGGTCACCCTCCGTGCTTGCTTCCATCGACACCGTGGCAGTCGGCCACGGACGCCACGCGATGCAGACTCATCGTCTCCCACTGCCGCAGGTGACAAGTCCATAAGGGTCTTGCGAGAGTCAAAATCCAGGTGTCATTAGGGCTGAGCCCCTTCTAGATGCTCTAGGGGAGGAGAACCCGCCTCCTTGGCTCGTGGCCGGTCCACCCTCAACGCCAGCCGCGTGGCACCCCCAACCTCTCCTCCTGGGGTCCCCCTGCCTCCCTCCCCTGTCTTCTAAGGGCCCCGCGGCTGTGCTGGGCCACCCCGAGAGTCCAGGAGGGCCCCCCAACTGCAGGGCCCTGAGGTCCTCACATCTGCAAAGTCTCTTTGGCCACCTAAGGGGGACACAGTCACAGGCTCCGGGAGCAAGACGTGGCCGTCCACGGCACAGGCGTGGCTGTGTCCGCCACAGCCTCCCTCCCTTCCGTGAAAGGGACGCTAGTGTCTCAGCTGTGGTGACTCTGATTTGGGACGTTGGTGGGATCGCCGACGTATGGTGACGCCCCGGAACAGACAGGCGGGGGCCGAGCGGAGAAGATGCACGTGGAGGAGAAGGGGGCGCCCTGGCCCGGGACGGGGTGCGGCGCCGAGGGCGTGGCCTGAAGCCAGCTGCCGTGGGCCGCGTCCCCGCCTGCGTGTCCCCTTGTCTGCGCAGGCACCGTGAGTAGCTGCCCCCACAGAAAACGGGGGTGGTAACCTCGGGGCGAGGATGAGCGGACGCGCGGGAAGCAGACGAGCGCCTGGCAGGTGGCGACTCCGGGTCACTGGTGCTGTCCTAACTGGCAGCAGGCCGCGGGGACAGGTGGGGGTCCCTCCCCGCACGCTGGCGCCACGCGGCACCGCGCAGACGGCGCAGGAAACTTCTCTGTCTTTTCCCCCCAGCGTGTTATGGGGGTACAGATGTTAAGGTTACGTATATTTGCCTTGTCCCCCCTCCCCCCCTCGAGTCAGAGCTTCAAGCGTGACCATCCCCCAGTTGGTGTGTGTTGCACTCATTGTGTGTGTATATGCCCATCCCCTCCCCCCACCCGCCCGACACCCCATAGATGTTACTCCTATGTGTCCACTTAGGTGCTGATCAGTTAATACCAGTTTGCTGGTGAGTACATGTGGTGCTGGTTTTCCCATTCTTGAGATACTTTACTTAGTAGAATGGGTTCCAGCTCTATCCAGGAAAATACAAGAGGTGCTATGTCCCCGTTGTTTCCTGTAGCTGAATAGCACTCCATGGTGTACATATGCCACATTTTATTAATCCACTCATGTACTGATGGGCACTTGGGCTGTTTCCACACCTTTGCAACTGTGACTTGTGCTGCTATAAACATTCGAGTGCAGGTGTCTTTTTCATAAAGTGACTTTTGATCTTTTGGGTGGATGCCCAGTAGTGGGATTGCTGGATCAAATGGTAGATCCACTTGTATGGCTTTAAAGTATCTCCATATTGCTTTCCACAGAGGTTGCACTAGTTTGCAGTCCCAGGAAGCTTCTCAATGACCACACGCCAATGCCCACCAGCTGGGCATCCGGATGACAAAATGCTGGCACTCTTTCTTGTGACCCGAGGTCCCACCTGCTGCCAGGGAGCGGGGACACGTTTGCAGGCAAGGCCAGGGGGCTGCTTGTCCTTCCCACTGTCTGTTGAGTACCGGGGCCCTCCCGGGCAGGGTGGGGACAATGAATGGGGGGTGGGGCTGCCAGGTCACAGTGGGGGGTCCCCTTTATATAGCAGCCCCTCCCCAGAGAGCCCTTGCAAACCAGACCGACATCAACACCAACAGCAGGTGGGCAGGCCTCGGCCCTCCTCCCCACCCCCAAGGCCAGCTGCAGCCCCGGCCCAGGACCCGCCGCCCCTCCCACCACCCCTCCCGCCACCATGGTCCGGTACCGGGAGAGGAGCCCCAGCGAGCGCCCGCACCAGGGGTATAGGCAGCAAGGGCACGGGCAGGAGCAAGGCCTCGAGGGCCAGGAGGAGCAGGGCCTGAGCCCGGAGACCATCGAGTTCTACGGCAGGACCTACCGAGGCCGCCGCTGCAGGCGCAGGCGGCGCTGCTCTCGGAGGAGGCTGTGCCGGATCCACAGGCGGCGGCGGCGCTCCTGCCGAAGGCGCAGGAGACGCTGCTGCAGGCGGAGGCACCGCAGAGGTCTGCCCCCGCCCCAGCCCCCGCCCGCCCCGAGAACCCCCAGTGACCCCAGGCCCTTTGCACCTGCTCCACTGCTCGGGGAGGGGGGGCGAGAAGGGAGGCAGGGGTCCCACCCACCCGGCCGCCCCCGAAAACCCCCATCCCCACCCCGATGCCCCAGGCACCCCTCGCAACCAGAATTTTCTTTCCCAAAAGGCTGCAGAAGGAGGAGGAGAAGATGCAGAAGGCGCTACTACTGAACTTCCTGAGCCCACCACCCCTGGCTGGGAGTTAAGGAGAATCCACCTGCCTGGGAAACACCTCGCGAGGCCATAGCAACTCCCCCACACCAGATGCCCGAGCCCTGAGTTGCTGAAGAACCCACAAGATCTGAATAAAATGAGCAAAAGTCACCTGCCAAATAAAACTTGACGAGAAATTCGCTGGCCTGTCCGGGTCTCCTTTGTGCAGATGGCACAGACCTGGCTGCCCGGGGGCAGCTGGGGGCTGAGTGCTCCTGGTGTGTCACCCCGTGCCCCTGCCCTGCCCGTGGTCACGTGTCCTTTCCTGGTGCTGAAAGCCCCGTTGCTGCACTGCTGCCGTGACAGCCCCCACCCCTGGCCTGGGAGTCTTAAACCAGAGTCAGGCTCTCCTGAACCACTTCCTACCCCACGAAAGGGGTACAAGGCCACCTCTGGCTTCCCTGTGCAGAGACGGAGCCCTGACTCGGTCACAAAGACGTCTTCAGTGGCACACACGACAGATGTCCCTGGGCGAGAACCTTGGGTGGTCGGGGGGGAGTGTGACTTGTGGGAGGAGAGGAACAGCACGTGCAGGAGCCCTGTGGTGGGAAGCAGGTCTGGCGTGATCCAGCAAGAGTGCAGGGGCTGGTCTGTATGCGGCCGTGTTGGCCAGCACATTGCCCGAAGGCTGCCCTCCCTCCCGAGGCTCGGGGAGAACCATACTTCTGGGGGCTCCCTGCACTCCGTGGATTGTGACTGCGTCAATCCACCTCCCGTCTGAAAAAATCTGCCACTTGTGACCATCTCCCCCTCTCAAGATCCTCAGTGACATCTGTAGTTTCCAGGAACAGGACATGGACATCTTGGAGGAGGGTCATCATTCAACCTCCCATAGCCACTGAGGATGGGGGGCAGGAAATTGGCACGATCTGATTTACCTGCCGGAAAGTAGATTCCTGGTGTTTGGGAATGACCAGATTTAAAACAACGGTCCCTAGCTCCGCCACACCCCAGGCTGAGATTGTGCTGTACGGGCAGGTGCAACCTTGCAAAGGGAAGTTCCAAATGTCTTCAAAGAGACCTGTGACCCCAAAAAGCTTAGAAGCCACTGCCTTTCAAGGAGATTTCAGAGGATCACACTTTCAGGTCCCCGAAGGAAAGAGTTCTAAAGGTTCTTTAATTTTATGGAGACAGGGCTCATACAAAATGCACAAATTTTAAGCAGGCAGCTGGATGAATTGTTACCAAGTGTTACCAGGGCAAGAAACCCAACATTCCCAGCCGCCGCTGAAAGTTCCCCCGGTGCCCCTGACCCCAGGCAGCCACTGTTTTGACCCCCCCTCTTTGAAAACTGTCAGCAGCTCCCCCTTGGCTGGGTGTTGCTGGATGGGAGGAGTCTGTGTGTGCCCCTCTTGCCTCCAGAAATTCCCTCCCCAACTCTCATCCTGGCTAAAGGGGGCCCTTTGCCAAGGCAAACAAAGCAGAGGGAGGCAGCACGCTGCAGCCGGCCTGGCGGGTGGCCCTCCTTCCCGCCCTGCCCTGTGGTTGGTGGGCTGTCCCCGAGCGAGCGGGGGTGGGCTGCAGGCCCTTTGTGATGTCAGCGCCCTGCCTCCCGCCCTCACGGCCCCTCACTGCCCCCAGCTGCCTTCTCTCCCATCCCAGAGACAGGCGAGGCGGACAATGGGCTCCCGCTGTGCCAAGCTCAGCACAGGCCACAGCTCGGGCCACGGCACGGGCCACGGCACGGGCCACCGGAAAGGCCATGAATCCTCCATGAAGAAGCTCGTGGCCTGTGTGAGTCAGGATAACTTCTCCCTGTCGTCGGAGGGCGAGGAAGATGAGGAGGAGGAGGAGGAAGAGGAGGAGGAGGAAGAGGAGGAGGAGGAGGAGCTCCCGGTTCAGGGCAAGCTGCTACTGATGGAGTCGGAGCAGCAGGAGGCGGCGGCCGAGGACAGCCCCGTGGCCCAGCAGAGCCCCGAGCCCAAGCAGACGCACTCCTGACCCCCGACGACAGCCCGGGAGGGGGTGTCCGCGCTGTTCCAGCCAGAACTTTCAGAAAAGAGTCAATAAAAAGTCTCCGAGGAGGCTCCCTCCTCTCTGGTTTCCCCTAACCCGTCCCTTCTGGTGCCATGTGCGCGCACGAGCGTGGGGGTGGGGAGGGCGACCACCTGCCAAGGCAGGCCCAAGAGCAGGGTTGGTGACCTTGTTCTGACACCCGACACCCAGAGAGATGTCCTCCCCGCTTTGGAGGTCTCAAATGCGGCAGCCGGGACTGGGACGCGTCTCCGCCAGCACTGCCCCCGCTTGGCTGCTCTAGCCAGTCCTTAAGAGCAAACCGCTGGGAGTTCAGCAGACGGGGTCACCGTCCTTCCTGCTAGCCGTGTGACCTTGCGCAGGCCACTGTGTCTCCGAGCCTCAGCCTGCCCCTCCCTGCTTAAGGGGGGCCTGATTGCGTCCCGGGGTCACTGGGCCAGGACACTCTGCTGAAGTGTGTGTGTGTGGGGGGCTGAGGCCAGACGCCAGGAGGAGCTGCTGGGGGCGGGGCGGTCCCACTGCCCAACTCCTTCTCAGCACTGACGCTTCCGTTGCCAGCCCGCTCCGTGACCATCTCTCTCCCACCTGGAGGCTCACTCTTGACCTCTTCAAGAGGTGCAGAGACGGTGCCCCCGTGAGTGAGCGCGGCGGGCAGGGGGAGCCCAGAGAGGCTGCCGGGCGAGGTGCAGAAGGGGCTGGGCGCACCTTCCAGGGGAAGCTCGGCTGTGTGTGCCACCCCCCGCCCGGCTCTCTCACCCCTGCCCCCAGAAGAAATGACAAAGGAGGAAGCACAGACTCAGGGCGACTGGAATCTATGCTCCCTGGTTAAAAAATTTAAAAAGTTAAAAATAGATTAAAGAAATGACAAACGACCCTGTCCAGGCGGTGGGGGTGGGGAAGGGGAGGCAGCATTGGGGGTGGGGCTCAGTTTCCCTGGGGGCTGTTTGAAGGCGGAGGTGAGGCCACCTGGGCCTGCAGAGGGCGAGGGCAGGGGGCAGGGGGCAGGGGGCAGGGGAGGCCCCACCACCCGAGACCCTCCCCTGCCCCCAGCACAAATGACACAACGGGCCCACGTTATCTTTCCCTCCGAAGCCCAAAGGTGCCCCCGCCCGTGCGTGTGCCCAGCAAGCACTGGTCAGGCCCTGCCGGGTGTCAGAGCCCACTCCAGTCCCCAGGGCCCTAACGTGACAGTGACAGACGCAGCAGTCCTGAGGGATGGCCACTGTCGCGGGGGCGTGGCTGTCGGGGCGGTTCTCCTGGGGAGGGCTGGAAAGGTGGCAGCAGAGGTCGGTTTCCTTGGTTTCCACGCTGTGCGCTGGCCCGCAGGTGGGGAAGTGGGGGTCAGCAGAAGAGGAGCGGGGCCGCGGGTTAGGGCGATCCAGAGGCCCAGAGGGTCTCACAGCATGGCCTGCACACTCCCCACGACCAGACGCAAGGAGCCCGCACAGGCGGGGCCCCTGGAACAGAGCTGCCCGTGCCCACGAAGCCCTGAGGACCGTCAGTGCCCATGGCAGGAGGCCACGCCTGGATTCAATCCCGGCTCTGCCAGTGCCTAGCTGTGGCACTCCGGGCTGGTGACCCAACCTCTCTGAGCCTGTTCCTTTCTAAAACACAACAATCATACCTGCCTCCCAGGATGCGTTCGTTTCTTAGGGCTGCTGTGTCGAAGTAGCACAAACCAGTGGCTGAAAAGGACAGGCATTTATTCCCCCATGGTTCTGGAGATCTGGGGTCGGAAGCCTCAGAGGAGAATTCCTCCCTCCCCTCCCGCTCCCGGTGGCTCAGCTCGTGGCCGCATAGCCCGTCCCGCTGCCTGCACCCGCACAAGGCCCCTCTTCCCTGTGTCACCCCTTCCGCCTCTCGCAGGGACACTCTCCGTGGACTTAGGGCCGCACTCTCTGGCACGCTCTCAGCCCAAGGTTCTTTGCCTAGTTCCACCTGCGAAGACGCTTCTTCCACATAAGGCCACAGGGACGGGTTCCTTGGGGTAAGCCGTGGACGTGGATTGGGGGGGGGCGGCATTTGGCCCATTTCACGGTCATGGTGAGGCTCGAGGACAAAGCCGCCTGGGAAGCGGGGGGCAGAGCCCCGGCAAGCGGGAAGCAGAAGGGTGGTTCTCCCCGAGTGATCCGACACATTTATTAAGAAATAAACTCCATAAAAGCGGGCGATAGCAGACAACAGGTGACGCTGTGTGTGGCTGGGGAGGGTCTGGGGACAGAAGGAGCTCTGTGGGGAAGAGGCGGGGGTGGGGGCAGGAGTGGCCCAGAGCTAAGCCGATGGCCTGAGCCCAGGCCTGGGAGCCCTGGTGGCTCTGGACGGACCCGGGAGACGAGGGGGTCACGGGGGCTGGTGCGCACGGGCTGGCTGGGCTTTCTCCCGGCGCGGGGTGCGCAGTGTGGCAGGAACGCGGCTCCAGGGGCAGGGAGGGAAGCAGGGTGAGGGCGCAGGAACCGAAAGGAGGAAGCCGGGTTTCCAGGGGCCTCCTGTGGCTTGGCAGGCCTCTCGGGCTCACGATACCAGGAAAGAAGGACAGACACCCCTTCCGTCACATACAGCCACCAGGCCTTGAAAACCACGACAGCCCACCCAAGACTGGACATTGGTGCAAACTGGGATTTGAACCTTCGTCTAAATCTCCTGACTTTAAGTCTTGCTGGGCAGGCGGGCAGCAGGCCCCCACCTGTCGGTCTGCTCCATTACTCCGATCATCCATCGTTCTCCCATGCATCCGCCAGGCATCCGACAGATTCATCACCCGCCCGACGTCTATCCAGGCACTCACCGGCTGTCTTACAGACCACCCGCCACCCGCCACCGGGGTCAGGGCTGCACGACCGTCACCCAAGCTGCCGGGCGGAGGCAGAAAACGCAGACCGTGCCTGTCAATGAGGTTTACTGAGCTGTCACTGTGGCCCCGGCCTGAGCTAACCGCTTGACATAGATTTTCTCATCTAATTCTTCCGATGTCATACGAGGTCAGTACAATGATTGTCCCTATTCTGCAAGGATGGGGACACTAGGACTTGGAGAGGTAAGGGCTCAGGACTGTTCGTGCGGAAGCAGCAGATCTGGGATGTAGATTCGCCTCACTCAGGCCAATCTGACCCCAGGGCCCTTAACCCACAGAGGGGTCTGCCCCAGGGTGCCCAGAAAGCTGCCCCGCCCTGGGGGTGAGGGCAGGGGCTTTGTCCCAGCGGGGCTGCGTCTGTTACACCCTGAGCCTGTGCCATCATAATCGGCCCCGACTATATAACCAGGGGCCTCCAGGGTCTCTGTAAAGCTGGGCCTGCTGAAACAGGAGGAGGAGGAGGAGGCGGCCTCTGCCCCTCCGAGTGTGGCCTCCCATGGACACCAAGACGCAGAGCCTTCCTATCACCCACACCCAGCCTCACGGCAACTCTCGGCCCCAAAGCCACGCCTGCAGCCAGTGCAACTGCAGCCACCACTGCCAGAACTGCAGCCAGAGTTGCAGACGGAACAAGGGTTGCAGCCGGAGCCCCAGCCGGAGCCCGACCAGCCACCGCAGCCCACCGGGGTCCTGCAGCCCATCTGGCCGCCAGAGCCAGAGCCAGAGCCTGAGCCCCAGCCAGCCACCAAAGCACCACAAGCAGAGCATGCACTCCCACCACTCTCGCATGCGGCCCACCACCCACTGCAGCAGCTGCCCCAGGAACAGAAAGGCCTTGGAGAGCAAGATGAACAAGAGGAAGGTGGGCAAGAGGATCCAGCAGGTGTACAAAACAAAGAGGCGGAGCACAGGTACCCTTTGGGCGGGGGCAGGGGGAAGGGCCACGGACGTTAGGGAGCAGGTCACGGGACCTTGGGGGAAGCGAGGTGGACACCTCTGCCTCCAGGCCAGGTCACAGAGGAATCACAGGCAGGGGTAGGGAGGGGCAGGGGGAGGAGGAGGAGGAGGAGGAGGGGGAAGGGGACATAGTGGCCCAGTTGACGGACTGGCTCTTTCACTGGATGGGTTGATTGGGAGGATGGACAGACAGCAGATTAGCTAGATGGAGGCTCGGATGGGTCGAGAGGCTGGGTGGGTAAATCATCACTGTAAGGTTTGTTAGGTCAATGGATGGGTAATAGAAGTGATCTAGATGGATGGATGGATGGACACATCAGTTGAATGACAGGAAAGTTGGATGTGATTAGCTAGATGGATGAATAAATGGGATTGGATGGATACAACGGTTGGCTGGTTGGGTAGAGGGCTGATTTGATTTGGAAGGATATGGTTGGTGGATGAATTGAATGGATATGAGTTTTGGCGGCTGAATGAATAGTTTACTGGATGGATAATTGGAGTAACTGAACTGATGGATGGGGTAGATATTTAGACTAATGGGGTAGGATGGGAAAGAAATGTTGACTAGAGTGAACTAACAAATGGGTGGAAGGGATGGGTGGGAGGGGGGATGGATGGAAGGAGAGTTCAATGACCGAAGTGCTCAGCTGTTAAAGGTCCTTCCCTCTCCTGTCCCTCAGGGCGGAGATACAAGTGACGAGACGGCACTCCCCGGCTTGTTCCTGTGTGTTTCACCCAGATGAGAAGTGCCATCACGCGTGGAATGCTAGGACAGAGTCAATCTTTTAGCAGGAACATGTTACTACGGTGATTTCTATGCAACATTGATTAAAGCTTGTACACTGGATGACTATCCTGGCATCGGCATTTTGATTTCTCTAGGATCAGGTGTCACATTTTGGGGGCCTGGTGGGGCAGCAGGACACAGGGAAGAGGTCATGTGGGGGCAGGGATGGGACCTCGTGAAAGCATAAGGGGTCTCTGTCAGCACAGGGGCGGAAATGAACAGGGGTGAGATGTCAAGAGGCCTTGAAAGTGATGGGCAATGCCGTGCTTGGCGACATTCCTCCCTGGCCCGCCCTGTATGTTCCCACATGTGTGCACACGTGCATAGACACACAAGTGACGCCCACAGACCCATATACTGCTCATGTGATCCGCAGGTATCTCACCCAGGATCACGCAGGAGACAGGAAGAGGGGTCAGGAACGTGCATTCTGCAGTCCAGAGCGTTCCTGAGCTCGAATCCTGTGCACTTATTGTGACACAGGCTGGTGGTCTCTGAGCCTTACTTATCGATTCTGTAAAACAGTGCTCAAAGCTGCCACTTCGACAAACGTTTACTAAGGGGCCAAGTCCGTCAGGGGCCACGCTAGGCTCTGGGAACACACAGAGGACACAGAAGGCCCTGTCCTCTTTGCAGTCCAAACACAAACACGGGACCTGCCGTTTAAGACAAGCTGTGTGACGCAGTGGGGCGAGGTGACGGGGGCCAACCCGGGAAGGCTCCGTCTGCCCAGAACAGCATGCGCCGGAGCCCCGGGGAGGGAATGGGCTTGCATGCTAAGGACGGGAGAAGCTGCCCTGGCTACGCAGCCGGCGGGACAGGAGTGGGGGCCAGACCACTCGGGACACGGCTCCCAGTGCGCAGTGGTCACGGGAGGGGCTTGCTGGCTGGACGTCGGGCTCTGCTGAGTGTCAAAGACGGCACTGCCAGCCGCCTGGAAACTGGACCATGGGGGCAGGGGGCAGAGCGGCGGGCAGGATGGTGACCCACATTAGGCGAGCACTGGGGGTCTCCCACACGGCGGGTTGGAAGTTCCTCCCGGGAGCACGCCCAGAGTCCTGCCAAACACTTACCAAGTGCCGACTTGTACAGGCTTTGGGCCACGGCGCAGGAGGGCAGATAAAGGACCCCACACCCAGGTAGCTCCCAACTGAGTTAGGGGCAGCCGTGGACACAGATTACTGGTTTTCTCATCCACGACATGGGCGCAGGTGCTCTGGCTGGGCGGGCAGGGGCGGGTGCGGTGGCGTGTGTGAAGTGCCCGGGCACGCAGCGGGCGGGCAGCGAGCCTTTGCTATTAATTCAGCACAGAAAGGACTAGACGGTTTCTTGAGGAGGAGTGCTAGCGCCAGACAAAAGGATTTGGGAACTGTCAAAGTCTCATCATGTAAATTAGCCTCTGACCTTCAACCCTATCAGCCTAGGTTTTAGGGTCAGACTCGGGTTTGCTCCGGCTCTGGCCAGGGGGACAGTGGGCCAGTCATGGCCACTCGGGGTCTCACTGGCCTGTCTGCTGGGGGTCACGGTTCTGACCTCGGGTCTCAGTGGGCTCCCCTCACCCCCGCCAGAGGCGTGGCTGCTGTGGTTGCCTTTTGTGTTTCATGTGGCGTCTGGGCTGCAGGAAGGGGGGTAATGGGGACAGGACGGGGTGCCTGTGGCCGGGGAAGGGCAGCCGTGGAGGAAGGCCTTGGGGAAGCCTGAGCTTTGCAGGACTCTGCGGAGCCGGGCCAGCCGAGGCATGCTGGCCGTGTCAGCGGAAGGCCCTTTCAGATCTGAGCCGTGTGAGCCTGAGCAAGTCTGTAAAAGGGGAGGCTGATGGCGCCTCCCTGGAGGGCTCCCTGTGGGGTTCAGTGAGATAAGGCCCCTGCAAGAGGGCCTGGTGCAGTCAGTCAATGTCACACAGCGCCAGTCTCCCTTCCTGGGCTCCCTCTATCCTCCTCTCACAGCAGGGAAACGTTCCAGGTTGTTCCCACGCACCCTGTGAGAGGCCACGGGGAAGGGCCCAACAGACTCGGAAATCACCATTTATTGAGCACCTACTAGGTGCCACAGGCTCTGGCATAAAGCTTTCTACTGAATCCACAGCCCCCAGCAGCAGGCTTTGTCCCCAGTTTATGGATGAAGAAGCTGAGACTCAGAGGTGAAATGACTTGATCAAGGTCTGAGGTTAGAGATTCATGTTTTGCCCAGAACTTTCTGGTTCCCTATTGAAAACGCAAGGCCACACGGAGCCATGACGGTCACTGACACCGCAGTGCAAAAAGCCCGGGAAGACCTTCTGGGGAGCATATTTTGCAAGAGGGGGCAGAGACAGAGGGTCAGAGGTCAGGTCAGGGCCTTTGAGCCTCACTCACCAAAGGACCTCCCTACTCCCTGGGCAGTGTCCTTTTATGATATGATTACTGAAGGCAGGAGATCTCTTACTATGAGCAGATGGCCCGGCCACGTGTGTGGTGAAAACAGCCCTCAGACGAAAGCGGCGAAAGCACACGGACACCTGGTTGCACATACAAACAGGCACGCGGGCCCACTCGGACGCAGAGACTGACAGTCACGCGGGGACCCTGATACACACATGCCCCCCTCCACTCACAGGCAGGCCCCCGCACACCGACACGCATGTGCAGGTACGCACGCACCGTGCACGCCGTCCTCTTGGACACGCCAGGACAAGCGGGAAACCTCCGACCGCAGGCTCATTCTTTCACCGGCTTGGCTGGGGCGGGGACAGCAGGTGGCAGGTCTGCCGGAACCCCAGGCTCCGGAAACGGAGACAGATGATGGATCCAGCCAGGGAGAGGGCAGTGGATGCTGACTCCGGCGGAGAGATTCAATGTAAGTGGGAGACGGGGGTGAAGGGAGGTCTGGGAAATACTGACGTGTGGGCCGGCCTGTGGTGGGGCTGTCCGCCCCGTCACCTGGGGGTGTCGCCCCTGCAGGCCCAAGTGGTCGCTGCGGGGAAACCCAGAGGTCTCGGGCTGCGGGGGGAGGAGAGGCCAGGGAAGGGCAGCACGGACCAGGCTAGAGACGCCCATTTTCGGGAAGATTCGGGAGGAAAGACACCTCCACCTCCGCAGGCACACAGGCCCAGATTCCAACCCCAGCTCCCCTCGCTGGGCGCCGTAGGCCGGTCTCTTCACCTCTCTGAACCTGTTCTGCATGCCTTGCTTTATGGAGATTCCCCAGGGGCCGGGTCGCTTTCACTGCTGCGTCTGCAGCACACAGCGCAGTGCCTGGCACATGTTGGGAGCGCGGGAAGTATTCACTGAATAGATGGAAGGAGGCGTACGTGCTAAAGCAACAAGGAGATGCCACTTGTGTACCCATCAAATAGGCGGAAACGGAAAAGCTTGCTCATAAGTGCTGGCGAGGGCACGGGAAACATCCCGCTGAATGCTACCGAGAACGTGCACAGGCGTGTGTGCCCGGGGCCACGCAGGAGGGCTCAGGGCCACGTTGTTTGCAGAAGCAAAAAACAACCTGTGCCCATCCGCAGGAGATGGCTAAGTGGCCACCCTGAGGAATATGTGGTTTTTAAGAAAAATGGGGTTGATCTATACATGATCCATGCAGGTTGCCAGGATATGCTACCCGGGGAAGAGGGTGCAACGGAGACAGATACACCACTCGCAGAGGGGAAATCCTACACAGAGCGACACAGCTTTTATGGATCAAAGTACATGCACGTAAGTGCACATAGAAAGATCTGGAAGCATACAGACTAAGCTGGTGTTTGGGGTTACCTCTGGGGAGGGGAAATGCTTTAGTTATTTTGTATGACGAAATGAAAAAATTAAAAAGCAAAGCAAGGAACGAGCATCCGCGCATGCATCTAATCAGGGCTTGGCAAAGCTTTGTTGGATCTGAGACGAGACAGCACAGGCATGCTGAATATAACATCAGCCTCCTTTCTGGGCTCGCTGTCTGGCCAAGGTGACCCAGCAAGCTCCCTAGAGGGACTCAGTGCCCCAGGGCAGGGACAGGCCAGTCCAGCCTGCTGCTTCCCCCAGACCTGCCCCTCCCATATGCCATCAGGGCCAGGCAGGGGCTGTCAACCGCCTCGACCGCCTCACTTCCTGCAGGCCCTCAAATTCTTGCCTCGTCCTGCCAGGAGCGCTCCCTTCCCCTCCCTTGGCGAGGTCCATCTTCCTTCAGAACCCAGTCAAGGGTGACCCCCTCCCCCAGCCTGCTCGGGGCCCTGCCAGCTGAGCCAGGTGCAACTGACGCCAGCAGACACTGGGCTTCCCATGTCACGGCATGTGTTGAGACTGCCACCGGTCTGTGTGCCCCCAAACGAGGTGCCTCCTTGGAGAGAACTGGGTCCTAACCAACCTCTCCTCCTGGCGCCTGGCCAGTGGCCTTTGTCACAGTGGGGGGCTTTGGATGTGAGGGTCTTCCTGCCCAGGCTCTAACTGCCCCCTGCCTGCTGTTTGTCAGTCCTTTGTCTAGCTTCACAGCTTCTGCAAATTCTTTTCTACATCAACTGCACTTGCTACTTGTCAGTTGCCGACACCTAATTTGTCCCTTATTGGGGGGGACTGGCTTGGGTTATTAGAACAGTGTATAAAAATGGAATAAATCAGATCTCCAGGGACTTACTGATGGAAAGGCACTGGGCATTCCATGCCTGGGCTTTGTGACATTTCTTTGGGCCACTGGGTTAAACTAATTTGCTTAAAGCCACATCACTGGTGGGGGTGGGGAGCTGGAACTGGGAACAGGGGAGTCTGGACCCTCCGACCAGTGCTCTCCGAGGTCCCCTTTCCTGCCTCTCCCATTCTGGAGCTGCTCACGTAAGCACTGAGACTGCTTTCTGAGAGCCAGGTAGTACTGGCCGCTTCACGCAACCTCTGACTTAATGTCTCCTGTCTTCACCTGTCACACAGGCACGGGGGGCTACGGGCAGAGTCTGGCCGAGCCTCCCCAGGACTGGCCTGCCCACTGCTCAGCTCATCCCCCCTGGCCTTTCAGACCTTCCCCTCGGACTCGGTGCCCCTAGCTCGGCACCCCCCCCCCACCAAAACACACGCTATTTGCTGCTGTGGGAACAGAAGGGACCTTCTACCCCTGCGGTCCCCAACCCCCTGGGGCTGAAGCCCGATACTGGTCTGTGGCCTGTTAGGAATTGGCTGGACATCACCCCCCGAGCTCCATCTCCCCCTTGTCCCCTGCCGCTCCCTGTTCCACGCCCCCTCCCCGCCAGTGGACAAGTGGTCTTCCATGAAACTTGGGAACTGGGGTGCAGCAGGCCAGTGAGAGAAGCTCCACCTGCATTTACAGCCGCCCCCCATGGCTTGCATCACCGCCTGAGCTCTGCCTCCCCCAACCCCATCCGTGGAAAACCTGTCTTCCATGAAACCGGTCCCTGATGCCAAAAAGGTTGGGGACTATTGCTCTACCCAACAGCAAAGCAAGCTCTCCTGACAAAGGCCTTCAAGCCAGGTTCCGCCAAGCCCCAGGGCTCCCCAAAATACCTTTGTCGAGGTCCCCCAACTCCCCAAGCTGTGCTTTACTCATTTGAGAAATGGCAGCACACGATTTCCAAATCACAGGGCCAAGGGAGAGATTAAATAAGATAATACACCAAAAAACTGTCCCCTGGCCTGTAGGAGCGGCTCAGCAAATGGGGATTTCTTCCCCACGGTCTCCTGGGGAGGACTGACCCAAAACGTAGCCGTGGACTCCCCAGGAAGTGCTCTTTCCAAAGCATGAATGTCCCAGCTGGCCCTTACAACTATCTTCACTCCCATTTCAGGGGCTAGTATAGGGACACCCAAGGGGTCTCGGAATGAGGTGTGTCCCAAGTTCACCATGATAGCTCATGTGGCTAAACAATGTAGGCAGCCAGAGGTCTTTCCACACCCAACCCTATGATGGCTCCTGGCTTTGATGGCTGCCCCACCCTCTCAGGGTAAAATCCAAACCCCTCCCATCGTCCAGCAAGCTCTTCCCGATCAATCGGACCCTGGCGAGCCCCTACACTCACCTCCTTGCTCTCTAAACCAACTACACCCTTCTCCTTCCTGATCTTTACGCATGCCATCACCCCCACCACAGGGCCTTTGTATTGCCTGTCACCCCACTTTTAGAAAGAACTCATTGCCAATGTCACCTCCCCCAAGAGGCTTTTCCTTTCTGCTTTGTCTCACCCCACAAACACCTCATCACCCCATTCTCCCTGTTCGTTTCCAACACAGCACTTAGCTGGATCCGAAATTGTCGTGTGAATTGCACTGTCTTCCTCCAGGTCTGTTTGAAGACCGCCGAGTCCCTAGTGCCCAGCATGCAGTAGGCGCTCAATAAATACTTGCTGAATGTTATAGCAACAGGAAATGGACAAAACATTTCTAGAAGAAAAATAAATTCTTAAATATTTATATAAAATAAAAATACCTGCTGAATAAATACTGAAGGAGTGAAATAGATACGTCACTACCCCTGTCTTACAGGTATGGAAACTGAGACGCACAGAAGCTAAGACGCTTGTTCCAGGACACACGCTTATGAAGTGACAGATTTAAACCCAGACCAGTGGACGGCAGAATTCATTCGGTGAGCCCCACAGCTCGGGGACCCCAGGGGCCCAGACTCCCACGGGAACCTCGCTAACCCATGCATTAGAGGAAAAGGAAGGCGAAGACTGCGGGGCCGGTTTCAGGATTACGAGCCCTGGCGAGGGGCTGGGCTTCCCAGCACGGTGCTGCCAGAGCTGGAAAGAGAAACTGAACTGAGCTCCCTGGGCCGGGATCGTGATTCTCCCCAGCTGCTCACGTCTGGGCTACCAGGACCTGCCGCGCATCTGGCTGTGGTCTGGCAAGCTGTGGACACAGGGCTGACTCATCTGCCCTGTGACAAGAAGTCACGTGTGCCTAGCACTTGCTCTGTGCCCGGCACTTTGCTCTGGGCTTTGCATCCATTGCTGCTATGTGCGGTACGACAGGTCCAATGCTCATTTTGCAGATGGGGCAAGTGAGGCCCCAAGAGGGCAAGTCGCTTGCCCAGGGTCCCACGCTGGGGAGCAGAAGGCCTGGGGCGGGAACCGGGCCCCACCTTGCTGGGGAGTCTGAGCTCCCGAGGGCTCCACGCCTCCTGGGTGCCCGGGCGCTGGTGCGCAGCCCTGCGGGACCAGACGCTTGTCAATCAGCACATTTCCTTCCTCTCTTCTGGCATCTGGATTTGGTTTCATTTTAAACTCGGGACTTCAGAAAATGAAACCAAAGGTAACTGTCACCGGTGGCCACGTGTACCTAGTTTATCCCCAAGCAGCTCTCCTCCTCCTCCTCTTCTTCCTCCCTTGCCATGCCTCCTTCCTCTGGCCTGTGCTCCCTGGGCTAGGGCTCCCAAAATGGACACGAGGGGTGAAGCCACGTGTCTGTGGGCTCCGACATGCTGCCACACCTACAGGCACCCTCTGAAGAACAACAACGGCAAACAGCTCCTGAGTGCTTATTATACACCAGGGGCCTTTTTCAGCACCTGACCCATAATCGCCCACTTGATCCCCACCCCAACCCTAGGAGGTCCTATTATTATCCCCATTTCACAGATGAGGAAGCCAAGGCAGAAAGGTTAATCACATGGTCAAGGTCACAGACTAGAAAGTTGCAGAGTTAGAACTAGCTCTGAGTCCAAAGTCTGGCTTTTAATTACACACACACACACACACACACACACACTTTATTATTTTTGGAGACAGAGTCTCATTCTGTCACCTGGACTAGAATGCAGTAGAATCATCATAGCTCACAGCAACCTCAAACTCCTGGGCTCAAGCGATCCTCCTGCCTCAGCCTCCTGAGTAGCTGGGCCTACAGGGGTGACCCGTCGTGCCTTGCCTGCTTTATATTATATTTTATCCATCACCCAAGACAAGGTGTGGCCCCCAGTGGTGCTCAGTCACCATCTCTAGAATGACCACAGCACCTGCCCCCTGGAGCACACATGGCTGTGCATCTTCTCTCTTTCTGCACGTGTGCACACGCATGCACCCAAACAGCCACATCAGCGACTGTCACCAGCCCTGGCCACACACACAACTTCAGGGAGCTGATGGGGTCCTGAGCCAAGCTGATTCTGGGCCTCCCCCTTGTGTTCACGGGCAGACGCAGGAACCTGGGCTCTGCCTGGGGGCGCCCTGATGTGCTGAGGCTGAGGACGTGGGAAGAAGGGCCTGGCACCAGGACTTGGGGCAGAGGAGCCTCTGGGCTGCATCCTGAGAGCTGTCTGCAGAGGGCAGTGTGTGCCGGCGTAAGAACAGTCACCAAGCCCCCGCCAGCCCGGCGGGTCTTTTGTGTGCCCCCTAGTTTTGGGGCTCCCTATGGGCCTTCATTCACAAATACACACACCAGCCGGGACCTGCTCCATGGCCATCCACGACAAACAGAAGCGCTACATCACACACGTGCACAAAAACAGCCCTGACCACCGACCCCGCACCATCCCGAGCCCAAATATGTGTGTGGGGCTGGGAGGGCGGGGGTGAAGGGCAGGTGCTGGATGGAGCAGCGGGAGGGGGTAGGGGAGAGGAGGGCCAGGAAAGTAGGTTTTTTGATCACCATATCTGCAAATGCACCGTTTTTTCATGGGTCTCCAAAGTACGTTTGGAGGCGCCTGGCTGCTCTTTCTCCCCAAAATGAAAACAGGGAGGATGAGAGCGGGGGCCGGAGCCCCCGATCCGCCAGCCACCGCAAATCACAGCCCCTCCCCAGGCCAGTTCCCCCAGCTGTCGCAGTGGGGGCGCAGGGCGGGCGGCCGGGCCGCTGGGGACCGTGAGCGCCCCGCCCGGTTTCCGAGGAACTGGGCCCGGCGTCGAGGCGCCCCTCCCGCCCCGCCGAGGGTTCCTCTGAAGCCTGTGGTCAGGCGGCCGCTTCCTGGGAAGCCCAAGCCAAGAAACGCAGTCAGCAGTCGCCGCTCCGGGGCCGCGCGGGGCGGGAGCCGTCCCGAGGGGACCTCCCGGGATTCCTGGCGGGATCCGGCTCCGCGCAGTAGGGGACAGCTCTGCCCCAGACCGGCGGGGAGGGGCGCGTGTGGCGGCCAGTCCAGAGCTTCCCGAAGGGCTCGGCCGCAGAAATCCGGGACTGAAGGGCACGGGCAAAAGTGGGGTCGCCAGGTCCGAAGGGGACGTTCGGGAAGCGGCCGGAGGTTCAGGGCCGGGCCAGCGCCCCCGGATGCAACGGTGCTAGGGCGGGTGCGAGGCGGAGTCGGGGTGCAGGGCCCCCAGCTGCAGAACCCCGGGAAGCGTAAACAGCAGGCAGGCACCGGCGCCACGACGGAAAGAGAAACCGAAAGTGGCGCTGGGGGCGCGGCCTGCCCGGGGCGTGGCCTGCCGGGGGCGTGGCTCCCACGCGCTTCGGGCTTAAAAGGCTGGTGCAGGGGCGGGCGCGGAGCACAGTGAGCTGCGGCCGTGGCAGCTGCACGGCTCCCGGCCCCGGAGCATGCGCGAGAGTCGCCCCGGAGCCCCTCGCCGGCCCGCGCCCCACCGCCAGGTGAGCCGGGCACAGGGCAAGGAGGCGGGAGGGAGAAGGGAGGAAAGGACCGGCGGCCACCAGCCGGAGCCGGAGCCGGAGCCCGAGCCCGGCCGGCTCCGGGACTGCGTGGTGGGGTCGCGGCCATCACGCCTCGGGCCGCCCCCCCCCCCGGCCCCACCCAGGCCGCCCCCCGCGCGCGCGCGGGGTTCCCGCAGCGCAATCTTTTTGCTGCCTGTGCCCAAACCGCCCGGACCGGGCGCCGATCCCGGCCTGGCCAGCAGGCGGCGGCCGCGGGGCGGCGAGCCGCGGGCCTGACGGCCGGAGCCCAAGCGGGCTGCTCCTGGGCACCTCTCCACGCCCCCCTCTCCGCTCCCCGGAGGTGGACTCCACCCCCCGAGCCCCCACCGCCGGCAAGGGCTTCGCGGACCGCAGAGCCCGTTTTCTAGATGAGCCCGCCGGGGCTCGGACGGGCCGCGCACGCTTGGTGCTCCGCCCGGGCTGCCTCGCGGCCGCTCACCTACCCAGCCCCGGCCCCGCGGGGCGCTGCGGCTCACTGCCTCTGTCTCCCCATCAGCGCAACCCCGGACGCTATGGCCCACCCCTCCGGCTGGCTCCTCGAGTAGGATGGTAGCACACAACCAGCTGGCAGCTGACAATGCAATCTCCACGGCACCAGAGCCCCGACGGCGGCCAGAGCCTTCCTCCTCTTCTTGCTCCTCCTCCTCGCCCGCGGCCCCAGCGCGCCCGCGGCCCTGCCTGGCGGCACCGGCACCGGCCCCGACACCGGCCCCGGCCCCCGGCGACACGCACTTCCGCACATTCCGCTCGCACGCCGATTACCGGCGCATCACCCGCGCCAGCGCGCTCCTAGACGCCTGCGGCTTCTACTGGGGGCCCCTGAGCGTGCACGGGGCGCACGAGCGGCTGCGCGCCGAGCCCGTGGGCACCTTCCTGGTGCGCGACAGCCGCCAGCGGAACTGCTTCTTCGCCCTGAGCGTGAAGATGGCCTCGGGCCCCACGAGCATCCGCGTGCACTTCCAGGCCGGCCGCTTCCACCTGGACGGCAGCCGCGAGAGCTTCGACTGCCTGTTCGAGCTGCTGGAGCACTACGTGGCGGCGCCGCGCCGCATGCTGGGGGCCCCGCTGCGCCAGCGCCGCGTGCGGCCGCTGCAGGAGCTGTGCCGCCAGCGCATCGTGGCCACCGTGGGCCGGGAGAACCTGGCGCGCATCCCCCTCAACCCCGTACTCCGGGACTACTTGAGCTCCTTCCCCTTCCAGATCTGAGCGGCCGCGCCCGCCGTGCACGGAGCATTAACTGGGGCGCACTGTTATTTTCTATTATTAATTATTATTATTTGACTGGAACCACATGGGTGCCCTCCCCGCCTGGGTTGGAGGGAGCGGGTGTGGGGGCGAGTCGCCTCCCGCTCTCAGCAGGAGACGAGGCCACAGACCCCTCCTCACCTCTTGGGGATGCTTCCCTCTGGCGTTCCGTCTGGGTCCCCCTGGTCATTGTAGCAGCTTAACTGTACCTGGGCCAGGACCTGAACCCGCTCCTCCTACCTCTCATGTTTACATACACCCGGTATCTTTGCACAAACCAGGGCTTGGGGGAGGGTCTCTGGCTTTATTTTTCTGCTGTGCAGAATCCTATTTTATATTTTTTACAGCCAGTTTAGGTAATAAACTTTATTATGAAAGTTTTTTTTTTAAAGAAAAAAAAATGTTTCTAGAGCGTGTGCTTTGGCCAGAAGTTTCTCTTGGTTCTGAAGGGAGAAGGGTCCTAAGACGGACCGGCTCCGCCGGAGGTGGCGTGGGGGCACGTTCTGTGGCTGGACACCCCCCGGGATTCCACCTGGGACTGTCGGGGACAGAAACCAGGGGTCTCTCGTTTGGGTGTGTGCTGGGCGAGATGGGCGCTCGCGTTTGAGCCCACACTGCGTGCCAGCCCCTAGTCTTTGCTTTCTGTGCTTACATGTACTTAACCCTATAGACATGCACCCTTGTGAAGGCCAGGCTCTCACCCCACCTTACAGAAGAGAAAACCCAGTGAGGGGCGCATTTGTGCGCACACCCTCGGAGACACTCAAGCCTTTTTTTTTTTTTTTTTTAAGGAAGGGTCTTGCTCTGTTGCAGACTAGAGTGCAGTGGTGTCATTGTAAGACTGAGATTACTTTTTTTTTTTTTTTTGGCTGTCCACCCAGAATCTGTTTCAAATGGATGACAGAGAGGAAACTTCTTTGCTTCTATGACCACAACAACTTCCAGGAAGAGCGTGGGGGCGGGCTGGGGGCTTGGTGAGCCGTTTGGAAGCGGCACATTCTGAAACGCCATCAGGGGAGACGTTTCGCATGGGATGGGGATTCGGTGCTGGGTCTGACTTCCTTCCCCCCCACCCCGCTCTGCCTTCTGTACTTTTTGGTGAACACATGGCTTGGAGCCAGGGAGAGGCTCTGTGGTCTGTGGTGGCAGGAGGGCCCTGCTGGTGGCTTTGGGCAATTCCCTTTGCCTCCCTGGGCCTCCACTTCTACCTCTGAAACGGACAACTTTGTGTGCGGGCCGGGGGCCGGGGGAGGAAAGGGTCAGTCCAGCATGTGTGTGGGGCGGGCCGTGGCACCAGAAACGGGTGCCCCGGACACGGGTTTGATGGCTGCTCCTGTGTCCACGGCCCCGTGTGAGCGATGGGCCGTGCTGGGAACTCACTGCTGAACACGGTGAACTGAGTTATTTCCAGGCTCAGGGTTAAGCAGCCTTGTGGACGCGTCACACTTTATCTTCAGAGGCGAGAAGCCTCGGACAGGCTGGTAATGGAGCGCGCTTGTGTTTAATAACACCTTTCAGACTCCAAAGTGGAGCATGAAATTAACTGCATGGTCCAAGAGCTGGAGCTGCCCAGGCTCGTCTTGGGGGAATAATAGGTTCCAGGCCTCAAGGGCTAGGCTGGCCAGGAGAGGATCAGGGTCTCAGAGCCGCGGGAGGGAAGGAGGTGATGTCCTGTCTCGCAAAGAGTCTCTGCTTTTTATTTTTAGCCACCCCCTGTCCTTCCTTCTCCGCTGTGTGGATTAATTAAGTCCTGTCCTTGTTCTTTCTTTAGCTGCTCCTGCCACCCCTCACCCCAGCCCTGGCCAGTGCCTGGGAGAATGGAAAAAATCACAGAAGGCAATGTTCGGGCTCAGGTTATAATGTCGGTTATAACCGCTGGGCCCCATGCTAC